CATTAGTAGTGTTATTTTAATTAGTAGTAGTTCTTTTGTAAAAAAAAAGTTTATGATTTTCAACGGAAACACTATTGAAAATGAAGACGTACCGTACCGAAAATGAACAAAAAAATATTATAATTATTCAAACCACTACTAATAGTTAACATATATCACTACTCAATACAATAAAAATTAGGCAAAATCCACTTCCATAGCCATAATTTTGCACTTTGTGACAAATATAGCCAAATTTGAAAAAATACACAGAAATAGCCACAAATTTGAAACTACCTTGACAATTATAGCCATTTCCGTTAAATTTATTGACGGAGTTAGAGATGCCGTTGGCGTCCGTCAACAACAAGCTGAGATGGCGCCTAGTCAGCTTTTACGTCAACTCTAAGTCGACGTGTCATGCCACATGTCATGCCATGTCAGCTTAAAAATTAAAAATATTATTTATTATAAAAAATATAATAAATAAATATTCTAATTGACCATCGTCTCTAAACCTCCTTCTCCATTTGACGATAAACCGAAAATAAAATCAAAAGCTCACGCTCCCCAGATTCATCTACCTTCCTTTCTTCTTCTTCTTCTTCTCCCTACATCTCCGATCAAGCAACAGAGACCCATCTCATCTCTTTAAACCCCTTCCCCAGCCGTACGTCGTCGCCATCGACCATATTCGCCCCTGTTGAAATCCACAAAACCCACAAACTTGCAGCCACTAGATTCACCGACGACCTAGTGCCGGCAAATCCAGGCGCACTAGGGACTCCGTCGTTTTGCTCTGGTTCAGCCCTCGCGTCGACCCTCCATCCACCGCCGGCGACGTTGCCTCGAGTACCGTTAGATCCAGGCGCACAAGAGCATCTCCAGCGTCAATCGTTGTCGATCTAAAATCCTGACTCGTCTCGTGGCCGCGCAATCATGCCGCTGAGGGAGAGCAACAGTCTCCATCGCAGATCGAGAAACTAAAACCTAATCGACGCTATCTCCTTGCAGATTTCCTCCCTGAAAAACCACCAGATCTGGGCGGTTTCCAAAGATCTGGGCGGTTTTCAAATATGCCGCCGCCGGAAATCGACAATGAGCAGAGGGTACAAGCGAATCGCCGTCGATGTTGCGGCAAATCCTCCCTCCGTCAGTCGCTGCTACGTCTGAATCCCTGTGTATTGTCGGACCGCGGAGGCGAGCTGGACCGTATCGAGTGGTGAATGGACCAAGGCTGATGAGTGCGTTCGTCGATTGAGAGTCGCAGACGATTTTAAGTTTAGGTGGAATGAAGGTGACAAGGAAGAAGAATGAAGGTGGGATTTCTGTAAAGAGGAAAAGAGAAGAATTGGGAAGGGCGGATGAGGAAAAGAATGGTAAAGTAGGGGTTTTTTTAATAAATATAATTAATTTAGTTTTCCACCATGGCATGCCACATAGACCAAATAAAATGCAGCCACATTCAACCGTTTGCCCAGTCAGCCGTCTTTAAAATTCCGTTACATTAATGGACGGAATGGCTATTTCTGTGTATTTTTTCAAATTTGGCTATATTTGTCACAAAGTGCAAAGTTATGGCTATGGAAGTGGATTTTTCCTAAAAATTAAAACAAATACATTAGAAAAATACTAGAACACAATCACAGCTAATAAGAAACAAACAGGGGAAAGATCCCCATTTAGCAATATATGTGTGGGAATAGGAGCACTTCTGGGCGCTCCTCATTGTTGGGACAAATCTGAGCTTTTTTCGGGTCGGCGAAGGAAGATGGCGTTGGGCGGAGTACTTCAGGGCGATTGACTATGTATTCGGCCAGAGAAGGGTGGATGGCGAAGAGGTGGAGGAGGGAAGTGGCGACACGACGAAGGCGAGGTCGACGCGAGCGCTGGCGAGATAGACGTAGGGGTTGACGAAGCCGTTACGAGCAAGCGAGCATGTACGTGTGAGCCCGAGGCATGCGAGATCGTTGTAGGCAAGGCCAAGCCCGGCGCAGTCGAGCGCATGGGTGGCCGGAGATGGGAGTTACATCGCTTCAAGGAGGAAGAAGATGGTTCTGAGTTTATTGGGAGAGAGAGATAGGAAGAGATGTGAGCGGGATTGATAGAAAAATATGTATTTATGCTAGGGTTTGAAAGAATATTGACTAAATTATCCCGACAATTCTGTGGCGCCGCTACGACTCACACGTTTTTGGCGGGTTTCAAAAAGATGGTTGGGTTTGTGGTTTTTGGTTGGGCCTAGTTTAGCAGCAGGCAACAGGAAGGATCATAGAGTTTTGATAGCCGACTTATGACTTTCTTCATCTGAGCCTGCGAGAAATATCACGGCCATGACTCACGGAACGCGATCGTGAAGTCGGGCCGCGAACTTCCCATTTCGACCGTGAACTTGACCGAGACCCTAAAATCTATAAATAAGGGGTTCTTCCCCCTCATTTGGAGAGCTTAAATAAATTGAGAATTTTCTGGTTTGAGAGAGAGAAGTTGAAGTAAGGAGAAGAAAAGAAGGAGTCAAGGAGGAAGGGAGCTATCCCCAATTCAAGCCTTCTTATATTTCTCTACATATATCTTCTTCCCTCATTTATGGAGTAGTCCTCTAAGGTACCAGGGGTTAACACCCCCAAACCCTAGAATTATGTTTTGAATGTAGATGTGCTTTTTGTTAGGGTTTGTGTATGAACTTTTTTGTTTTAGTGATTATATGCTTCATTTATGTTTGATTATGCTGGGGCTTGTCTCTCCAACTCTTCCCTACTATCCTACAACTGAGTTTTAGAACTAGGTGGGAGTTTTAGGGTTGGACTGGATTTGAACGTTTTAAGGCTAACTAAAGGTAGATGAATGATCTTAGGATTCCTTTTAGTGGACGAGGCAACAAAACCCTGCTAGAGTAATGCCTTCCTGAGATAATGCTATCTATGATGCAAGCATCATTGATCCATCGCTTTAATGTGCATAATAGGTTGAACCTATTAAGATAAATTAGTGATTATTTCTTAACTAGCAGTTTGCCCGGCTAGTTGGCCGGATTGTAGTTATTCCATTTATAGGCTATATCCCGTTTTAGCCCCCTTTCGCCCATTTTTGTTTTTTGGAAATGTCTTATCAATGATCAACTTGTGGTTATTCCATCTATGGGCTATATATCCCGCTTTTGTGTCCTTTATTTTAGCATGTTTTATTTTTTATAAAAAATTCATGAATTCATTTTATTATACCAATTGTATTTTCAGTGGTGTTAGGGGTGTATATGGTTCACCTACCGGAATGTAATTGTTCCATCTCATTGCCTGCCCAGTTGCCCATATTAGTTTTGTCACAATGCTGATAGGTGCAATTTAAGCAAGGTCGTCATATTGATTTAAATTGTCAAGCAAATTAAATAAGCAATTTAAGACGTGATTGTCGAATTGAGATCCAACCTATTTAACGTGCATTAGACATATTCTAAAAATATATATCCATAAGGTACAAAATTAAAATTCTAATAATAAAATAATATATTATATATATATATATATATGGCGAGTTATATATATATATATATATATATATATGTATATGTATGATAATAACTTGTATACTCCAGGAGTATAGCATGCTCCCGGTAATCTGACCGTTAGATGCACTTTGATGAGCTCCAATCAATCTCAATAATCAATTATTTTTTTATTAAATTCAATATCTAACAAACTTAAAAACTCACCCAACCACTTCATATCCTCTCTTTGTCCCTCCCCGTTATGTATCTCTCTCTGTCTCCCTCTCTCCCCGACCCTTTATCTCTCAGTCAATGTGACTGACGTGGCCGGTTTTATATGTCTGATTATGATTGAAAGCCTCTTTTTTTTCATGTAATCTATATATTTTTATGCTTTCATGTAATTCATATTGCTGGTCTCGGTTTGTGAAATTAGCATATATATGTATACTTTTAATTTCCCATAAATATGTTTTAGCAAGCCTAATTAACCTGCCCGTTTATTTTTTAGCGGGCCTCAATTTAACATGCCCAAGAAATTACTGCTTTGGCACAAATGCCCCTCCGCCAATTAAGGGCTGCCTTATGGTGGCTGATGTGGCACAAATCTCATATGTACTCCTCTCTATATATTTGTGTTGATACATGAGCTTTGAAATCTTCAGATTAAGAACTTAGGATAAAACCACTAGAACAAACCCTCTAATTCTATTGCAAAGAATTTGGATTTCAATGCGTTAGACTGGTTAAATTGGTTTTGGTTCATCCGAAAACAAAAAGGGGCCATTTTCCCACTCAGGCCTTGAGGGGGTCCGAACTCCGATCCAACGGCTGGGCCCTACTCTTTCTCCGCAGAATCAGCGAAACAACTTTCCAAGCAGTCGGATTTCCCCGCCTAGCTGCTTTTTTTAAATTCAACGTCTTCACATTTTTACTCCCCCGTCATAACTCCATTTTTGTCCCTCCTCTTCTCAGTTCTCACTCTCCCAGATGAAGCCGAACCGCAGAGTGAAGAAGTCGGATTCGCCATCGAAGGTAAGAATTTTGACACACCATACTCCGCCTGCCTGCAACTAGTTACTGAACGAAAAAGAAACTGCTGTATTCCGCTTCTGAGTTGCAGCTTGTATTGGAAGAGATCATCGGATTAACACAAAGAACGCCAATGGATTGGCTTCTAGCGAATCCACCCCGTTATCCTGCTTACATCGCCGGATGCGCGGTGGTCCTCCACGACGCCAATTCCGGCCAACAGTCGCGCCTCTTGGCGCCTCACAGAACTCCCAAGTCCTTGAGCTGCGTCGCAATGTCTCTAGACGGACGATTGGTCGCCGCTGGAGAGGTACTTCCGATAATTGATCTCATAAATTTTAGAGTCACTGAGGATTTCTGAACCTAGGAGAAAGGATTTTAGTTACGTGTACTGTAATGTCGGTTTTCCTCGTGATTTTGTAGTCGGGAAATCAACCTGCAGTACTAGTATGGGAACAATCGACTGGTTCCTTTTTGTCTGACCTAAGTGGCCATGTGTGCGGAGTGGAATGCATTGCTTTCTCGCCCGATGGTTAGTAATGGTGGAATGGAAAGCAGGACTGTTTGGTGGTTTAAATTGGACTTGGCAGTTTTATACATGTGTTGTCTTGTTTGGCTTTAATTGTGTTGATCTTCAAGGTGAGCGCCTGGTGTCTGTTGGAGGATATATAAATCTATGGGATTGGAAGAAGGGTGTGCTGGTGGCGAAGCTTAAAGCAAGTTCATCTGCCATTTCATCTGTTAGCTTCTCAGCCAACGGGAAATTCATTGTTACTGCTGGAAAGAAGCACTTGAAATTCTGGACAGTTGGTTTAACACCAAAGAAGAGTACTCGATTGAGCACAGTTTCAGTAGCAGGGGCGGCACCGATGATTCAAGGGAAGCCTGTCAATCTTGGTCCTCATAAAGGGAGTTCGTTCGTGTGTGTCACTAGTTCTGCAAATCCCGAGCCAATTGGGTCTACTATGTTCTCTATCTATGCGTTAACTGTTGAAGGTCAGGTGTCTTTACTTTAACCCAAAAAGAACCGAAGTGTGTTTCTTCTAGTGTTCCGGTACTTTGTACCGTTGTTTCTGAATGTGGTTGTTGCATTTGGTAGGTGTCTTATGCGTCATAGACAATGGTTTGTCAGTAGTGAGGTCCGCGGAGTTGAAGGTATATTTGGGTGGCTAAGTGTCTAGGTTCCTCATGATCTGTTCAGACGAGGCCAAGTTGTGGAATATGAAAAGCATATCTTCTTAATTTCACCTCCATAAGTTAATTTCATGATTATCAAACAATGATTTGCAGGTTGAGAAAGGTCTTGCGCTATCTGCTTCCCGTAGGCTTATTGCTTGTGCTTGTTTGTAGTGGAATCGTGAGACTCTTTACCAGTGAGACTCTCACTTATGCTGGAAGTCTGCTACATTCTAAACCCAAAGTTTTTGATGAACCAAGTGATGATCAAACTGAAGTCATTGGGGACGAGTCGATTCCTTCCTCGCCTGATGCTGTTGCTTGCCAATTCTCTGCCTCGGAGAAGTTGGGTACGCGTCTAAGAGTCTTCTCTACATAGGGAAATTCATTTTTGTGATAACTGAAACCTAACTCCTGTGTTTTTTCAGTCGTTATTTATGCTGACCATAGCCTCTATATATGGGATGTTCTTGATGTAAGCAAGGTATGTGCTGTATGAAATTGTCCATGTCAATCTCCCTTCAATGAACTAGTCCTGATATATTTGGGACCTCAAATATAAACCATAGATAATAGCCTCATTCTCATGCAGGCCACCAGGTGTTGGATGCTGGTTTCTCACTCAGCCTGTATTTGGGATATCAAGAACCTCTGCTGTGAAAATATGCACGACCCTTCTCTTGGATGCGCTGCTAGAGGATGTCTGGCTGGAGTTTCTTTTGCTACCTGTTCAGCAGATGGCACTATCAGGTTGTGGGATCTTGAACCACAGCCTCAATTTGTTGGGGATGACGATTCTGAATTACATGCTCCAAATGAAACCGATAAGCACCTCTTGCGTTGGTAATTCTACAACTATTTCTTAGTACGTTTCACCCCCCCGGGGGTTACAGAATATGTGAAGCATTCCTTAAATTGTCTCTTTCTGCGTGTGACAATAGTAAGTACTGGGATCTTTGAGCGAGATACCTTGGGTATGGGTGTGAGCAGTCAGGGGCTTCGGTCCATGGCTGTTAGTTCAGATGGAAAGTACCTAGCTGCTGGTGATAGCGAGGGAAGCCTCCACATCTACAATCTCTGCACTTCTGAGTATACATGCGTACAGGTATACAAAAATCACATAATTTCCTCCAAAAATTTAAGCCGAAGAAAAAACTTTAATTAGTTTAAGTGAGTACCAACTACCATCTTGACAGGATATTCACCAAGCAGAGATCCTATCATTGAGCTTCAGCGTGTCACATGAGGAACACGTTAATCGTCAAGAAGTTGATCATGGCAATTACTTGCTTGTGTCAGGGGGAAGGGATCGAGTTATCCACCTTTATGATGTCAAAAGGTGCTCAAATTTCCATCCATTTTTTCATAAGTCGGACTTGTGTCAATGACTTCCCGCCTTAAAAGAGTCTCAAGTTTCATTCCAAGTGGAATATTTTGGCAGGAACTTTGATCTTATTGCAAGTGTTGATGACCATTCAGCTGCCGTGACCTGCGTGAAGCTCGATAGAGGGGCTGTAAGGCTATCAGTTGCAGCGCTGATAGGTACGCCATCCCTTTAATTTGGAATGAGCATCATGAAAATTTATTATCACCATTATCTTAGAAGGCTGCTAGGCAAATTTATTATTTTCCAAGCAAATTATGAGCGTCTCTGGGGAAACTGTACGGTCTCTAGTTGTCAGATATTACTTGCTTCTACAGGTCTTTGGTGTTCCGGGACGTTTTTTTTGTCAGACACTGGCTGTAAGATTTTTAGGCGTCATCATCAAATGGCATCAAATGGAACTGTGTACGATATGGCTGTTGATCCAAAAATGGAGTTTGTTGTCACAGTTGGCCAGGTAAAATTACGTTATGAAACTTCTACATCTGCATGTGAAGAGAAGAATATAATACGGACATCAAAGCTTTTGATTTCTTCATAGGACAAGAAGATAAACACATTTGATGCCGCATCTGGAAAGCTGGTGAGATCTTTCAAGCAAGATAAGGATTTTGGAGACCCTATAAAGGTAATTCAGAGTTACATCAGTGGAGCACAAGCTTGAATGTAAACTGACTGAGTCTGATCATGTTTATAGGTTATTATGGATCCAAGCTGCAGCTATCTGGTTTGCTCTTACTCTAACAAGAGTATCTGCGTTTACGATTCAATGACCGGAGAAATGGTCACTCAGGCCATGGGACATGGTGAAGTAGTAACCGGTGTCGTCTTTTTACCCGACTGCAAGCATTTAGTATCCGTGGGTTTTTCTTGTTCGCCTTGTCCAACTTTCAACTGTTGATCAAACAAGGACTTCGTTTTATATACTGATTTTCTTCTTTCTCCCATCATAATTTTATATGGCGCGTGCATTCGTTAATGGGTTGCTGCAAACTAAGGTTGCTGGTGATGGTTGCATCTTCGTCTGGAAACTGCCTCCTCGTATGAGCTACAGGATACTGCATAAAATGAAAGAAATTTATGCACCGCTGTCTCCCAGAAAGTTCGAGCTACCATTACCCTCTACTCGAATCATGCTTCATGAAGAAGACAGCCTGACATTCAGAGTCGATGCTGAAGATAAACAAGATGTTTTTTGTGAAGGAGTTGCACATGGAAGGACCCCAACGTTCAGATTTAGCATTTCACGACTTCCAAAGTGGGCGCAATCCAGACTTGCAGACTCCGGTAGCATTCAAATAAATCCCATTTGCTCGCCATCTCAGGTACTTAGAAAACCATACCTTTGTCACTAGAATTGCCAGTGGATGATTGGCTCTGGATCTGATATCTTTGATGTTTCTATTAGTCGGACCAGGAGCAGGTTGAATTGAAATTTTCCCCCCCACTGACACGTGATGGCCAAGAATCTGATCATCTGTACCTGGAAGTTGAGTCTCCTCTTCCTAGCCTTGATATATGTAGCACGAAGTACTGCTTAAGTAGCTCGTCTTCAGATTCTGCTCGAATAACTGAAAGGGGAATTGAGCCTGTGCCACGTAAAAGTCTGAGGTACCCAATATTTATTAACCTACATCTGTTCTTTGAAGTTACATCGTTTGACGCTTTCTTGGCATGATGGTCACGATTTCGAGTTTTTTCTTTCAGTCAATTTGCCATGGACAAACGTTGGCTTAGTGTTTATACCGTGTGCCATATACTGAATTCTCCAGAACTGCAGCGATCAATGGATTTAAATATGCCAGTCTCATCATCAAGCTCTGGTAAGGCTAAGCACGAATCTGAAAAGTGTAATTTTTGCCACTTCCTCTGCAATTAAGGATATCCTGAAGAGGAATGTGATTTTTAGCGAAGCTTAAGTCAAAAGTGCTCATCGTGTTGGTTACTGCAGAGAAGGATAAAGCACCCATAGATGGTGCTAGACAAGCAGGCGCTTCAGAACTGCAATCAAGTTCTTGTAATTGTGATTTCTTATACCAAGAAGATAAACCTCAATTTATTGATAAAATCACGAATCCAAGTGAGCAGCAGATTGCAACCTGGATACCTGAGCAGTGTTCCGTTAGATCCGAAAGCCAAGCACGTGAGGGCATAGCTGAAGAGAGCGCAATTTTCAAGCAACACTTTGGTAGTTTATCAACAGCCACTAAGGTATATACTGTCCCCTATGAGCTGATACACAGGAAACAAAGAGAATTCTACGATTGGTGCCATTTGCATTTGGCACAAGAACTTGTAGCCTTCCAACTCTGATGTACGTTTGCATTTCCCCTGCATGCAGATAGAAGGCTCTAAATCTAAATCATCTGTGAGAAGAAGTTACTCTGCAAGGTACGTGGTGCGGCGGGACAATCCTGCACTGTCCCAGAAACTCTTTGCCACACCATTCCGATATTCTGGTCGTAACACTTGCCAGGATATTGAAAATGATGGCACTCATATTCACTCGGAAAATCCACTAATCCAGTGTCCGAAAGGAAATCTGGTAATGTCTTCCACACAGGTTTATCCTAGTTGTTTCTTGGTGTGGAATTTTCATAACCATTTGTTGCATGGCGCCAAATTGAATGGTAAGGCTCTTCTTCAGGTGTTTCATAACAGATCACAGAGCCTTGCACAAGATTATTCCACAAACTGCATCACGGAGGAAGAAGCTTCAGATATGACAAGAGAAAGTAGCTCCGAGCAAAGTGACGGCCTGCTGCAGGAAAGATTATCACTGTGCATAGAAGCATTACTGAAATTGGACACCGCAGCTGAGAACGCACTGCATCTGTTCGCCAACGGACCCGAAGCTGAATTTCACAAAGGGGCAAGCGACCTGCTTTCGTCGATAACAAAGAAAATCGATGCAGTTGCTAAGCTGGTGCATCGTGGCAATTGACAATATCATCATAAGCTGTAAATTAACCGAAGTGCATGGTTGATTTCGCCAAGAATGGTGAGGCCTTTTTTTTTTTTCTGGCATTCTTTCTCTACTGGATTTAGGCGTCGTTTTCTGGCGTGCTCACTCTGAATCTTTTACTTGCGCGCTTTCTGTGGTAATGTAAAGCAGGGCTGGGCATGTGGGCCCACAGACGGAGCCTGACGAGCTGGTGCCTGGTGGATAAACGAGCCCAACTTGAATGGGCTCAAATGAAAGAGGAAATGCCCAAACTTTTGTGTTCGGGGCTTCGGGCAGTGGAATAAGTGGACATGATGGCAGCACTGAAATCAACGGGCTGGGCTCCAGTAAAGAAGCAACAAGCAAGCTATTGGAAAAGGAGGTACAAAATTTTCTGGACCTTTCTTCGTGTGGGACGGGAACGTCTCTTTTTTCTTTTTTTGACAAAGTTTCCATTCCCGCTACGATCTATGGGCCTTTCTCCTTTATTACCCGTATATATAAACAAAAAAGCAAAAGAGGGAAACAAAAGTAAAGAAGACCCATCTTTTCTTTTCTCCTTGTAACAGCAGCTCTTTATCTTTTTTCTTTCATTCAAGTACACTCCTCCTGATTTTCATTGTGAATTTCCCAATATAAAACAAGTAGGAGCCGAGCTCGGTTTGTAGATTTCAAGGCAAATGTCAGTGAACAATGTGGGTAGCGGTGGTTTTGTAGTAGTAGCCACACCATACTAGGATAGGAGGAGGAAGATATGTAGGAATATTTGTAAATCCCTAAGAAGGTATGTCCCCTTGGAAATTAATGGTCTTGTGCACATTAGCTTTGTCTTGCTTTAGTAACATGCCAAACTCTAAATTCCCCCTTTTCTTTCCTTTCCTTTCTTGGGATTCCTTCACTCCCACAGTCCCACTTGCATAATTACCAGTAGGTTTTACGAAGCCACTATGGCTCTACAACAGTATTGGAGCTCACAATTTAGAGCCCCACCATCTCATTGGTTAGTCTAATTACTACCTTAATTAGGCTAATCATGACCATTACAGCCTCTAACCAATAACCCTTTTGGAATCTCTCTACCCCAAGGTCGTTGTCTTTTATTGCGAGAAAAAGTGCGACATTCATAAAAAGACATAGAATTGAATCGTTAAATTTTCCATTAACATAACAATTTGAACTACAACATTATCAGCCAAATGATCAGATCGTCTGGATGATCTGACAAAGTATAGAGTAAAAAGTAAAATATGTGTGTCGAAGGTGGTAAACTTTCTCTTTCTTTTACTTTGTTTACCTCACATTGTCCTTTGGACTGGTAATCTGATGTACCAAAATTGATATCACCATCAATCTGAAGAAAAAGAGAATGACATCTGTCCTGAATTGTGCCACTGGGAGGGAACAGGGCCAGTTGTCCAACAGGTGCAGGCAAAGGGCTTCCTTTTATTCTGTCTCACAGAATAATAATTTAAAGATAGTAATAAGAATGAAAACAATTCACAACATACAAATAGGTATACCGTATTATGAAACATTTTGTAAAGACATTAGATCGATTAGCAGCAGCAGCAGCGGCGGCAAAATGTGAAACCAGGTATGCTGGGTCCAAAACAGAGGCCGCTTTGTTTAAAGTTGGCTGTGTATAGTTCATTCATTCTCTTGCTCTTGCTTATGTACATAGTCCTTTTTCCCAAAACATTTGAGAAAAGCATAATAATAATTACAGTATCTGACTAATCGATCTGTGATGATTTGTTGTTGTATGCGTGTGTGGGGTAAAGCCAAAGGAGAGCTGGAGGGAGGGGCTCGTTTAGATTGTCCTTTTTACACCCATATTTTCCTTTGTCATCATTAACAATTTAACACTTGCTTTTCTCCTTTTATCCACAGTCGGACGTGTCTCTTTTTAAAATACGTTTTAAAGGTATGAACAATGTCCAGCTACTGCCGCAACATTTGATTTTAGTGTTGTTGGATTGTGTTTTCATGTGTTTTAGTTGTTAAACTGTGTTGGTGGTAGTTTGTACACAAAGCAAATACGTTTAAATCTACTGGCTAAGAGTACACAAAAGACTCTGATATGATCTGAAATTAGGGAAATTACGTATTTGAGTGGAATGAACATTATGTAATTTTATCGTACATAGACTTGATAAGCTTAACGTTCATGAGATGGTATATAGAAGTAGCTAGCTAGTTGATTTGCTGTTGAAACTATAGCAGGAAAATGATGGACAGGCAAGTAATAGGCAAAAGAGAGCAGCACCTACTTTCGCTGTGTGAAATTGGGTGCGCAATAATTATGGAGCATCATGGGTTAGGGTTAATATAAGGCAACATTATTGGGAATAATTGGCTTGGAGAAATCAGTGGAATCCCCCATTGCCTGCCTGCCTGCGCATGTTTATCTTTCAATAATTTCCTCTACCACTGCCCACTAGCTGGTGCATCTTTGCTTTCTTATATTTGCTGGTTTCTGGTGGTATCAAAGTTCACTATCTAGGAATATTGTCAAACGGTCGAAACTCCCAGTTGGTCTGTTCTCCAATTTTTCTAGTATGTTCAGGAGGTTGTACGTGAGATCGTGCTCACAATGTCCCGTATTCGTCTGATCGAGAGCGGATGCTCTGCAATCATCCGATGGACGTGATGCATTTTATTCACAAAAATACTATCACGTCCATCCAATAGCTACGAAGTGTTTGCCCCGATCCGACGATCACGTGATGTCGTCAGCATGTTCTTACAGACACACTTTCAATACTATAGTCAGGATGTGTTTTCTCCCTCAACGTTAATTTGGTTGTAGTACAATACTGTATTTTGTGAGGAAACCAAATACGACTCCATGGGTAAAGCTATCATTTCTTTCATAATCTCATCATCGTCAGCTTTTCGATTTAGCAGTAGTTGAGGTAAAAACGGGTTGATTCAAGTTTCCAGAAGGAGTGGTAATTATAGAAAAGAGAAAGTTTGCAGGAGTGGTAATAATAAGACCTTTCCAGTGAGGGAGGGAGGTAATATAGCATTTTTCAACTAGCTAAGGCTAACGTGTGTGGGTACAGTAACAACGTCAAATTGTGTCACAGTGCTTCAATTCTTATTTGTCTTTGTTTTTACCGAGGGAAAATGACGATGCGATGCGAGAGAAGGGATGGGAGGGGTAAAAAGTAAAAAGTAAAACTAGGAAAGCTCATTCTCACTGCCACACATACACAGGCTTTGGGGAGAGAGAGAGAGACAAAACAAAGCCCTTATCCTCTGACTCGCGAATCTTCATATCTCCACAAACCAAGAGAGAAGCATTAGATTAAGACGACACCAACAGCTTCATAAGAAAAATGCAATTTCCAGATCTGTCCTAAATGTGCATGCTTCAAAAACAGTACTAATCACTAATCCTCAGGAGGGAAAAAGAAACCCTAGCTAGCTAGCTAGCGTGCCGCCCTTTTCCAGATTGTGAAGCTTCCGAATTCCAATAGATCTCTGGGTTTATTGCTTAGAGCCAGCCCCAGGGGCTCTCTGCTCTCGATGAGTTTCCCCCGCACCACAGCCAATGCATTCATTCATTCATTCATTATTCTGCTCTTACTTTTAGGTTACTCTATTTAGGTTAGAGCAAAGAGTGGTTGGATGGGTTTTGGATTTAAAGTGACCCGCCTGCTTATTAACGAGTTGATACTTCGTATTAGGTTGGATGGTTAGCGAATAGTTGCGGTTGTGTTGTCGGTTAATCCAAAGGCGATTTTTCAACTACTCATTAGACAAGTTGACTAACATTTATAATAAATTCCTTAACGCTCTGTTTGACAACTAGGAGGGTGCAAATTCGAAGGGAGTGCAAATAGAAGTGCAAATTGTAGAAGGGAGCAAATTTCAGGGGGAAGCATATTGAGACGTAAATCGTTGTTTGGGAGAAAAAATAGGAGGGTGCAAATTAGATATAAAATATAAAATTTAATATTAATATTAATATTAAAAATAAAACAAAGCCCCAGTCCTACCCCACCTAGGGGTGGGCAACGGGAAACGGGTATTTGGGTATACCCGTACCCGTCCCGTTTTTTAAGGGTTACGGGTACCCATATTACCCGTAATATTATAAACGGATGGGACTTGGGATTGTACATTCCTAATATGGGTGCCCCCGGGTTACCCGCGAATACCCGTTTGGGTAATATGGGTACCCGTTATACCCATTCAATACAAATGCAGAAATTTAATTCAGCCCAACCCAATTCAAAACCCGTTGGCCATTTCGGCCCTTACCCTTTCAATTTCAATTCCATTTGGGCCCTTACCCTTTCACTCTTTCACTGACATGTTTGGTGAATTAGTAGAGAGAGTTGGGATGTGTTTGAAATGAGGCAACGAGTGTCCATTTACAGCCTGAGATCATTGTGTACTTAATTAAATTAAGGAACTTGGATCATCCCAATATTGCTCCTAATTATTCTTCATTGCAGGACAGCAGCAAGTAAAGGACAGTTGCAGCTGCAGAAGGGAGAATGGTAGCAGCAGCCTGCAGAAGAGAGAACGACATCAGCATTGGCAGCCTGGAGAAGGCAGAACTGCAGCAGCAGCATGCCTCCCATTTGGTTGTGTTGAATGAAACTTCTTTTTTGATAATTTGGTGCTTGGAATGATTTATTTCTATGTATTGTGATTGTTCATAAATGTGTAATTTGCAAACCAAGTATTTGTGATTGGGATGTATTTTGTGTCTTGTGATTGTTAAGCAAATACAAGTTAAGTTTAAACTTTTGTTAAAATTTTAGTGGTTTAAACTTTGGGTATTTATGGGTAGTATGGGTACCCGTTATCCGTCCCGTACGGGTAATGGGTACCCGTTTCCCATATGGGTTTAGGATATGGGATGGACTTTGGTCTCCAAATGGGACTGGGTACTCGTTTTAAAACAGGACGGGTATCCCGTCCCGTCCCGTTGCCCACCCCTAACCCCACCCTAATCTCACACTTCCTTCATTTCTCTCTCTCTCCCCGGCCCCACCACACCTCTCCCTCTATTTCTCCACCAGCGGCCACATCCCTCTCTTCCCTGGCCCACCACCTTTCCCTTTCTTCCTCCACACTTCTTACGCACCAAATTGGGGGGGGGGGGGGGAGCAACCGGAATAGTGCTTTTGCACTTGGTTTGCACCCCTAGTTACTGTTGGAAAATATCCAAATGGGGACATTTGTCTTGGCTTTCACATTTACCCCTCCCCTTTTGCACCCCCTCTATTTACACCCCTATCCAAACAAAGTGTAAAGATTGATAAGATCACATTAAATAATCTAGACACCTCCAACCTATTTGTCATCTATGAAGATGCCTAGTACTTCATCATCCAATTATCAAGAGAAAGTTCACGTTATTACTTTTTAGCGACTAAGATACAATTAACAGTTTATAATTTGTATCTCAATATCTAATAGATGTTACACAACATAGTGACCAATAGTAGTATCCCAAAAATATTCTTTATTATCGGCCTTTAGAATTCGATGGTCAATGTGCATGACCGGTAAAAAAACATGATAACTAATCGTTAGTATAAATAAAATTAAAAATCATTTCAATGTAAAGCTGGGTTGCGGGTCATTTGAGTAACCCGCAACCTAGCCATCACCCACCATTAAGTCTGGGTATGAGATTTCTTAATCCACAATCCACCCATATAAATCATTTATCCACTAAGATTTGAGTTATTTGCATGTGGCTCGATGTCAAACCGTGGATCGCCCACCCACATGGCAATCCCTAATTCTATTATCCAAACATTAGGGTTGGGTACAGTTTTTGGTTAGCGGGTAACTGTCGATTATAATCGAAAACCGATTA